CCATATTGTAGCTTAGGGTATTATATTTATATCGTATGTGTTACATATTTTACAAACATATTAAAAACAATTTTCGTGTGTTTCGCCTGTTTGAAAAACACTCAAACCATCACTTATGAAATGTATCTCCGATATAGCCATCACAAATTCAATGTTGTATTCTTATTGCTTATGATGTTTTGTGATTATATACTCATTCAAAGTTTCATATTTAAAGAACTAAATAGTTTTAGTTTCACCCATTTTTTCTACATTCATCGAGCATTATCAAAGTAACCCCAAATCAAAAAACTGAAGTTCGGTCACAAAACTAAAAAAATAGAGTAAATGCTTTAATTTCCGTTAAACATACTACTATCGAATTGACTCTTAGATCCTCTGTACTTGTTTTAAACTAAAAAATTTGAAAAACATTCATTGCATTCAAAATTATTTAGAATATACTTTAAAAAATTATCAATGTTACCCCGTTTTACGGTACGTTCATTTATTTACTCTCATTTAGTAGTATAAGGCCAATAATGCTCAGTTACGCAGTTTTGGCCTGTAAAAGTGTATTGATAAAGTGGTGCAGAAAGTGGTGTGTTTTTATGAAAATATTTTTTTTAATGGTCAAAGTAATCCATGAATTTGAGCCTAAAAAACGGTTTCTAAAAAAATAAATTTCTGAAAAAAGGCTGTGTGCAAAACCATATTTACTTTTTTATGACAAATATCCGCTAAATTGAAAATGAAGCCTACATAGGATGGGCCTCCCTTAGCTCAGTCGGTAAAGTCGCAGTTATAAACCTAGACCATGCTGGAGGTGGCTGGGTTCGATTTCCGGTCCGGTCTAGGAATTTTTCAGGATGGACAATTTCTCGACTTCCCTTTGCATAGAGTGTGATTGTACGATGTGTTTTGATTTATTTTTTCATGTATATCCTCCTCCCTAAATCGAGTTTATATTATTTTTTTCCGTTAATAAAGCGGAAGCAGTAAAATTGATCATTTAGATTCAAAATTGAACTTCTTTGTGATCCTGTAAGAATAGTTTAAAACGATAAATATAATTCCAATTTCATATCAAAATCATAAATTAATACCTAGACACTTAAATTTTTGAGATATTCTAAGAAAAATAAGAATGCTCGCGTAACATTTGAAAACAGTCTACGTAAGGAAACCAGAAAATGAATTTTATATTTTGCCGCCACTATTTAATTCATATATAATGAAATTAAAGTATTTTAGGCATTTATATTATTCACATTAACAATAGCAACTGTATCTCAACATCCAAAATATGCTTTTTTTTTTAAATACATGAAAATCGATATCATTTTAATTTCATAAATTAATAAGCGTTTTTATTAATCTTTTAATGGTTAGGCCCTTTTTGTTATGCCGTTGTGCTTGTCATCAGAAATCTGGTATCGGCCATGCCTCAACCGTGAAGCAGCAGTAGGGCCTAGCTTTGAGTAGAACATTTTCAAATATCGGCCCTAGACTTATCAATGGAACCTAATGGACAAAAAAAAGAAAAAAAGAAAAATTAGGCCGTTTTAGCATGTTTACCTATGAATGTATGATTCGAAAAATTTCGTTGATCGGCTGTTTTTAAAATCAATTTATTTTTAATGATTTATATTTAAAATGCGGATCATTCCTATACGATTGGTAGCTATTTAGCGGTGCTATAGAATGTTTAGATCTAATCGTCGGCTTACTAAGCACAATCCACACTTTACTTCTCTTTTTCGATAGTATTTTTTCACAAAAGGGAATGTTTCTACTATACAGATGATTTGTGACACCACACCCGTCGTTGAGGCGTATTGTGTGTCAAAAAGTGAGGGTCCAGCTGTTGGAAATGTCCCTACTGGTATGGTCTACTGGGTGTTGTGTGTTGTCCGTTGTCATTTCATTTATACAGCCTCAAGCTGTACTCAAATGCTATACGATATGAGGTAACCTTTACTCAACCTCTATACAAGCAAATCTGGCAAACTTAGTTAGCTACTTATGGCTGTTGAGAAGGTCTTATTGCATATCCATTTACGTTTCTATACAGCTGTTAATCTGCGGTTTGTTTGTGTGTGAAAAGACGCTTATTCAACCCTTTTCCCGATTGTTCAATAATCACTACAAGCTTTATCTTGAAGCCGAGCTAGATATTGTTTGCTTTTTTTTGATGGAGGAATTTATAGATTTTATTTAGCTGGGAATCAAATTACTTGAAATTAATTATAAGCACAAAACCAAATTATTACCCTGCACCGGAACCTGGATTAGAACTCAATGACTACATTGCCAAACCTTATCACTACCAACTTCGCTACGCCAACACTTTGAACTGACGTAACAAACCTACATGATCTTCTAGGACAAGATCGCTGAGTAGAGGCTTTATAATAGTACACATGAATCACTTTTCTCGACAAGTTAGTTCAGATTTGTAAAGGAGTGGAGTAAAAGCTATAAAACTTCACAGATCTAAAAATAAACCTAGATGACTTTAAAAATGCTTCCATCCCAACTAACAATTTTCGCAATGTAAACGCTTACTCATTTCATTCATACAGTCTCAAACTGTATTAAAATGTTATACGATATGAGGAAACTTTTACTCAACCTCTATACAAGCAAATCTGGCGAACTTAGTCAGCTACTTATGGCTGTTGGGACGGTTGTGACAAGCTCTTATTGCATATCCATTAACGCTTCTATACAGCTGTTATCCTGCTGTTTAGTTGTGTGTGAACTTGAAAGGCGCTTACTCAACCTTTTCCCGGATATCCAATAATCACTACACAGCTTTCTCTTGAAGCCGGGTTAAATATTATTTACGCTTTTTTGTTGGAGGAATTGATTGAGTTTAATTTGCTGTGCGAATCAAATTATTCGAAATTGGTTATAAAACACACCACCAAATTATCTACCCTGCACCGGAAATCTGGAATCGAACTCGAGACGACCTTATTGGCAAACCTTGACACTACCAAACGTAAACAAATAAACATGACTTTCTACAATAATACCGTTGAGTAGAGGCTTTATAATAGTGCACATGAATCACTTTTCTCGACTAGTTACTAGCTTTGTAAAGGAGCAGAGTAAAAGCTGTAAAACTGCACACGTCTAAAAATAAACCTAGTTTACTGTAAAAATGCTTCCAAAGTAGCTCTAACACAGTTGTTTAGCTGAGTACAGGTTGTTTAGTAGTTGAAAAAGCACTTTTGATGTTTATGTTATTCAGCAAGAGTGTTTGGTTGTAAAGAAGCCATCAAATGAGTAATGAATTCACTTTATTAGCTTCGTTTTGCAGCTACAAGTTGAAAGTTGATTAATATTTCCATAGAAGTGAGATTAGCGTTTATTGGCTGCTGTTATTCAGTGCGACTGACAAATTGAATAATGGTTGTGAAAAAGTTGAGTAAACGCTCTCCAAAACTATTTTGCTAGCTTCTGCTTGTAGCTGTACTGCAGCTTCATTTCAGCTACTTTACAGCACAAGGCTGGAAAGTTGGCTTATAAAGCTGAAAATGTTAGTTGGGTACTTCAGTTTTGTAAAGAAGCAGAGTAAAAGCTGTGGAATTGCACACGTCTAAAAATAAACCTAGTTGACTGTAAAAATTATTCCAAAGTAGCGCTAACCCAGTTTATTAGCTGAGTACAGGTTGTTTAGTGGTTGAAGAAACACTTTTGATGTTTATGTTATTCAGCAAGAGTGGTTGGCTGTGTGAAAGCCATCAAATGAGTAACATATTCACTGTATTGGCTTTGTTTTGTAGCTACAAGTTGAAAGTTGATTAGCATGTGTATAAAAGTTACATTAGCGTTTGTTGGCTGTTGTTATTCAGTGCGACTGACAAATTGAATAATGGTTGTGAAAAGTTCAGTAAACGCTCTCCAAAACTATTTTGCTAGCTTCTGCTTGTAGATGTAGCCCCATTCTAGTCCAAATTCTAGTACTACATTATATTTGTCTTGATTTGCTGTGAAAGTTTGACAGATAATATGAGGAGTTCATGGATTTTCCTATGTTTCAAGGGATGCATCGATTAGCTTGGGACCGAAGAGATTACCAGAGCTGATCCAAAAAGTTGAGCACGATTCTTCGGGACCTTCTAGTCTTTTAGTTAGTTAGATATTATCAAATGTAAAATGACAAATTTAGAGCAACAGATGGCCATTAATGAGCAAGAAAGGGTTAAAATGTTAATACAAATTTTTGTGCTGAAAGTATTTTAGTAGAACTGATGCCAAATTAATGACCTATATGTTTAAAAGCAAGTTCAGTTGGTTTATTATTCTTGGAAAAAGGTCATCATAAAAGAAGAGATATACTAAAATTGCTCTAACTTCCAACAGTCTAAACCTATCATGCCCAAAAATATACACATAAACCTTAAATATTTGGTAAATTAGTGGTCAAGAATCGAGGAATTTAGATGCGCGCTTGGAAAACCTCGTTTAATTTTCATGGTGAAAATCAAAAAAAAAAAATACTTATTTTCTCAAAAATAATATTGTATTTATTATTTACACCATTTTAGTTTACTAAGCTGAGAGCAGGCATACCACTCCCGTAAGAAACGTAAAAACTAGAATAAAGAAGAATTAATTTTAAGCATATATTCTGTTCGGTGCTGAAGCGAGGGTACTCCAAATTGTTCTAGAGCTGAGTGTAGAGATTTATCTAGATTTCAATTACATTTTGTTCAATTTTTTCGTTGATTCCTTGTCTATTTACATTTTTCCAACGAGTTCTGTCGACCTTTCACTTCACCGAGTTGCTTGCACAGTTAATTAAATTATACAACTTTCCAGCATGCAATACCGGAAATTGCAAAAAACACCGAGAAACTTTCTTCACACGAAAACTTGTTCCCCTTCCCCACCATACACATAGTTTTCCACAAAAAAAGAACAACATAAATCCAACAGCAATATGCACATCATATTCCTCTACTGTGAGTGTGAAAACTTTCAAGAGTTGTTATATTACTTCATTGCAGCTCGAAGAGCAGAAGCACCGGCACCTCACGCTGATGAAGAATGAAATGAACGGGCTGCAGTCCCAGATGGCAGAACTGAAAAACGAGATCGATTCACGACAGCGGGATTGTGGCTATTTGACCTATTTCCGGGACAAGTGTGCAGAATTGGTAAGAAACAATTTTATTGCGGTTGTAGGAAAAAAAAACGAAAAATTATGGCTTGACGATGGTGATGCAGACATTCAATTTTCACGTACAGGAAATGGAACACCAACAGGAACTGCAACGGATGCGGAGTGATATCGAAGCGTTGAGTACGCAGCTGGTCGATAGCAAGGAGACGGTGAGTATTTGTTTGTCCAATAGTTATGATGAATGCAGATGAAAGATGAGATTTGAGTTTTTAGAACATTCAACATGATCAATTGTTGCGGGAATCGAATGCTTTGCAAAATACGATTCTCGAGCTGAGCAATCATAATGAAATTCTCCAGAAGGCTATTCAGACCTACCATGAAGAAGTGGAACAGTTGCAGCAGGAACTTAGCGCAACGAAATTTCAGGTAACTTGTTTATACTTATTGGTTGACCTAGGTAACAAGGTTTATGTTTTTTTTTTATTAAATTTACGAATGGGTTATAACAGTTCACAAACCTCAACCAAGAGTTGGAAAATCAGAAAGCATTGTGTAGTGAGAAAGATAGTAAAATTATAAGTATAAATGCAGAGCGGGAAAAGTTGCTCGGAGATTTGAATCTGCATAAACGGATGTGTAAATGTGGATTTAATACTAATCTTAAAGAAAGGGTAAGGACTATTGAGTTATTATATTTTAGTGAAAGTTTAATGCTAACCAAAAGTGTTGTTTCAGTCGAAGACACCGGTATCTCATTCCCTGCAGAAACAGGTTGTTCAGAAAACATTGGAGGCTACGAAGGCTGCCGATGCGCTGAAACAACGAACGACGGATTTTAAAAAGCTGGAAAATCAGTACGTTGAGGAAAGGATACGATTAACCGAGCAGACGACGGAGTTGTTTACCCAGGTGAGAATTGCTTCGAAATGGTTCATTGACGATGGTTTACATTACAGTTTGTGAAGAACTGCGAAAAGGTTGGTGGCATGCAATGTGGCACTAAAAAATACGAGATGTCGACTGAAATTTGATCCGAGTCCTAGGTCAAGTCAAAATCAATCAATCACCCAGGATGGAAATCTTTCATGTTGACCTATGTACCACTTTCAGGATATCTATGTGAACAATGTGACATTTTAATTTTTGAACGCGGAATCATAAAAACATTGCTTTTTTTGTATTTCGTAACAATGTATGATTATCATACATACCTAGTGTTGACAGTTCAGCCGATCATGACAGCCGAAGCGGTCAATTCGTTTCCTTATCCACACGTTTGTACTTACTTGCAGTGTCATAGTAAGGGTATACTGCGCCCTATGAAAACAAATGACGCCGCTCTTCCAGTCGTTCTTAAGGGTCACCCACATTAGATCCGTTTGCGTTGCGTTAACGTAAATTTGACAAATAGACAAAAGATTTAGCTGTCACTTTATCGCAACGCGTCCGGATCGGATTTAATGTGGGTGGCCCTTTAATGTTAATTATAGATGAACTAGCCTAAGGCTAAAAATCTCTTTAATAAAGAATTAAAAAAAAAAACAAAATTATGTTAACTATGCTATGTAGTGTATTCCAAGATATTAAAGACCCACTCATATCGCATCCGTTGGCGATAAGTTGCAGCAATGTGACAGCCAAATCTGTCAGATTTTCAGCAACGGACTATGAAGTTCTAATCAAAATTTCTCATAGATAATTTTGATATTCTTTCATTGCTTTATACTGCCGCTCTTCGCATAGTCGTTTTTGTCCAAACTGAATATTTCAATGCAAACGGTTGCTAATAACCAATATTTTCATAATACAGGATGAACTCTACAACTTTTTTTTCGTTTAATACTAGCGAGATTATGTGAAATTTATATAGGGAAAATGGCTCTAATGTTGGCCTATGTATCTAAGATTGGGCTCATCGCTAAAAATCTGCTATTTATCAATTTTATCTAGTTGAACGCGTCATTGGGACGGTACTAATGGATATTTTTGGTCTTTGGTTTTTGGTATTGAAAATTTAGTCAATTGTTGAATTTATGTATGGGTCCAAATTAGGGCCATTTAGGCCAACATTTCGTCCATTTCCCCTATAAAATAAAAGCAAAATTATCAATTTATTTGATTAAATGCGAATTTCTACATAATAGAGGAACTGCGGGTAATACGAACAGTTGATTGTATTGGGTTTTCAATATGGCCAATATTCGCCGTGTTTTTTAATCCCCATTTGCCGCTTGATAAGTTTTAGCATTTGTATGTCAGTTTTGACCAATGTCCCATGTTCGGGTATTCAGTATGACTGACAACAATAACACTATTAGCTAGTTTGTTTTCATAATATAGAAACATTGAATTTTCAAGACTGTCCGTCTTGCCTCCAGCACCTGTCCGTTTCACCCGCACTTATGAAAGATTGACAGCTTTTCGAAAGTTTTTGATTTTCAAATAAAGAATAAAATATCACAACTCAAAATCAAGGTTGCAAATACTCATTTCAGCTAAAATAATGTTTTTCGGAATAATAAAACCAACAGATGGTATGATGGCATGTTTTACTTGTAACTTACAAGAAGAGTTTACAAAGTATGCGTTTGAAACATAAAACTTGTAAATTTTGCTTTCTATGAGTCACAATCAGCGATTTTCTGATCGCTGAGTGAGTGAGTGAGTGAGTTTGTGAAAAATCGCTGATTGTGCCTCTCATGATTTGAAATAAACAGGTTTAATATGTCAAACACATTCTTTGCAACCTCTTCTTGTATCCTATCAATTAAAAATATGATCATGGCATGTAATTATTTCATAATTTAAAAAAAACATTGTTTTAGCTGAAATGAGTATTTGCAACCTTGCTCAAAATAATTTGTGTAGGATGTGGGATTTTGGGCAAACATACTTTTGCATAAACGGTCCTTAAAAACACCCAAATGATCCATAAAACTTTGGTAAAAATCCCTAAAATAATGTGAATGATCCATAAAAAATGCCATTATGATCCATATTTTATGTAAAATTTAGCAACTCAATTGTAAAAAATGAGCATTGAAATCATACGAATTACCCATAAACGTATTGCGATGAAACATAGGAGTTCTACAATGAACCATAAACTAATTAAGTTAATCCATACAAAAATCAAGTTTGTGAACTAAAAAATATAGGAATGTTCCAAAAAATGGGATTGAATCCACAATATTATGCTCAGTAAGCAAAATCGGTCGCTGCTAGGCCACCCAGCTCCATTACGACTAACGATCGCTAAAGCCTGGCAACATGAAGTTATTCAAGTTGAATCGATTTTTCCCGGGTGCCCATCATTCGGTTTTATTTAAACAGCGAAATTTGGTTGATTTCAGCAAAAGATGTCACTGGGAATAAAGTTACCGGAAACCGGAAAAACCACAATTGAAAAAAAAAATTAGAATCCGGAAAATGGTTTATTCACCAAGATCGCATTAGATTGTCAAATTGTATACCATAATTGGGATAAATTTTTGAAGCTCGAAATTTTAAATATTTTTACTGTCGCATAATTTCGAATTTTGATCACTACAGGGCGAGTGGGTAATTGAATAGAATGTTATACAGTGATAAAATAAACTCAGAAATAGATCTGTTCTGCAATCTTATACCATATAGGACTTTTAAGATCCCAGACAAAGATTTTTTTTTTCAAAATCACAATAGACAATTTTCAAGTTGTTGAGGCTAGGCCAGTTTTTTACATTACTAAACTTTTCGAAATGTCAGACTTTGAAAATACTCAAATAAAAAAAAAGATCTCAGAGAACAAAAAAACATGACTCATGAACTAAAATTAAACTTAAGGAATTTAATACATAGCACTTAACTTTTGAAGAAATGTCTAGATAGTTTTAATTAGAATGCCAAATGAGTTTTGGGGAGAATTTGAGTCCTCAGGATTTCAGAGGACAATCCCAAAAAAATGTGGAAATAAGTTGCAGGTTGTTTTGAATACCGAAGTACTTTTTTTTCCTTGATTTGTTTTCCGCCGATCTTGTTTTCCATGCTGAGCACCAATGCTATCGACGCCAGGGAGGCAGCTCCCACTCTTGGACCCTACCTATCGACCCATCAACTCATGAACCGGGGACCAACGGCTTTACTTCCCTTCCGAAGGAAGACGTAATCAGAGATGTTATGCCTCAGAACATCCCGGCGGCGCTGACTGGGATTGAACCCAGGCCTGCTGGGGTGAGAGGTAATCACGCTTACCACTACACCACCGGTGCCGCTAGATTACCTAAGTGCTTGTAAAAAATGTATTTTAGGTTCTATTCAAATTCCCGGTTTTTCTCGATTGTGTACGATTTCCGGAAAACTCCCGGTTTTCCCAGTTTAGTGGCAAGCCTTTATTACTTATAATAACAAAACTAGTTGCAGCTAAAGCCAATAACCTAAGAGTTCTAACAAGAAATCAGGGCAACAGAAGATTTGAATTAAATTCCTAGATGATTCAAAAGAGATTTTATGGGAATCGTGAGAAGAATGAATAGCAGGTGAATTTTAAGGAGGATTTAAAGAGAATTCTTATGAGAATTCAAAAATAATTAGGGTAAATTACGGCTTGGGCACCCATTAACTGTTTTCGGCATCCAAAATTTAAACGTTAATTTCACTGAATTTTCCCATCAAAACACTTCGGTGAATGTATTCTACCGATTCCTTAGTCTTTCAGCTTCAATCTGATTTTTTTTTTATGAATGAGCAATCTTGTTATGCAAGAATTTTCTTACTCTACAAAATGCGGATGATTTCGAGTTGCCGATAATAGAACAGCTGGTTAACAAGCAGTTCAAATGGAAAGGTTGCTGAAGAAAAATAGGCTGCCGACAATAGTAACACTCACCTGAGAAGTTTGGAACGTTGTGAAAACGTTTTCAAACAGTTTTTGGAAATTCTGGCTATTTGAATGGATTCAGAGGGAATTCCGATAAAAATAGCAATTCAATCGTATTTAGGTTATAACAAAAATTAAGTTCAGTAGTAGAAGAGAAAAAAAAAAATTAGAAGAGAATTTTGAAGATTTCTGAGGAGTGTGTTGAGTTCAACAAATGTTTGAACAGAATTTCATAGGAGTCTAATTGTCAAAAACCTTGTAAAGGAATTTTAAGAAGGATTCCGGCAAACATACTTTTGCATATATAAATTTCTATAATATTCTTCTTAAGAATCTTCCTCTGGATACTTCTTTTAGAATCATTAGAAACTTCTTTTTGAAGCATATTCTAGAAGCTGATTCTAAACTCTTGCTGTCGTTCCGCTCAACTGACTAAAACATAACATGGATAGTAAAGGGTGTCCACGATGAAATTGCCACACTATGAAATTGCTCTAACTTTTTAACCGTTGGGTAGAATTTAATGGAAATTTGGGTGGATTTAGTTCATAGTGCATTATTTACATCCTGCAAGTTTTAAAGTCCTGTGATCAAAACTCGCGGAAATGGAGTCGAAAGAACAGCTCGTGCGTGATAAAATCTTGCGCATTCATGACGAGAACAAGGATCTCTCGCATCGTTCCATCGCTAAAACGTTGGGAATTGCGAATTCCACGGTGTCGCGAGTGATTAAGCGGTTCGAGGAACGGTTGACCACCGATCGGAAGCCCAGAAGTGATGGAAAAAGTATTCCGTACAACACCAAAAATCACAACCGCGTAGTTGGGGCCTTCAACCGAAATCCGAACGCCTCCGTTAGGGATGTGGCTAAGAAGCTGCACCTAAACCGAAGTTTTGTCCAGAAGGCCAAAACTAAGGCTGGGCTTCGAACGTTCAAGGTACAAAAGGCCCCTAATCGCGACGAGAAGCAGAACAAGTCCGCCAAAACCCGTGCCAGGAAGTTGTACCTCAACATGCTGACGAAAGTTGAATGCTGCATCATGGACGACGAAACATATGTAAAGGCCGACTTCAAACAGATCCCCGGCAACGTGTTTTTCACGGCCAAGGATAAGTGCAGCGTTCCGGAGCATGTCCGCACTCAGAAGATGTCCAAATTTGCGAAGAAATTCCTGGTTTGGCAAGCCATCTGCACGTGCGGGAAGCGGAGTGCACCTTTCGTGACCCAGGACACGATGAACGGACAGGTGTACATAAAAGAGTGCCTCCAGAAGCGGCTGCTTCCTCTCCTGAAGGCCCACAACGTCCCAACAATCTTCTGGCCGGATTTGGCCTCATGCCACTACTCCAAGGACGTGCTGAAGTGGTATGCGGACAATAAGGTCAATTTCGTGCCGAAAATGTTCAACCCTCCCAACACTCCGGAGCTCCGCCCCATCGAGAAGTACTCGGCGATTATGAAGCAGCACCTTCTTAAACGACCTAAGGTAGTGAAGACAGTCGAGGAACTGAAGAAAGTATGGGTTTACATGCTAAAAACGGTTGATTCACAGGTTGTGCAGAATCTTATGGCCGGGGTTAAGGCCATGGTGCGGGCATTTGCGTATGGACTGTAAACAAAATACGAGTAAAATGGTAAAATGAAGTTTAATAGTTATTTCTCAATCCCTGAAAATTTGATGGCAATCGGATGAAAACTCGAATTTTGCTAATCAATTTTGTGTGTGGCAATTTCATCGTGGACACCCTTTAAGTAGCTACTCAGTAATGGTAATGCTCAATTTCGTTAGTTTCTGGTTCATTGTTGAACGTTTTATGGATCATTTGGAATATGTTTATGGGTAATTCGTACAATTTAAATGCTCATTATTTAGAAATTGAGCGGTAACTTTTTTAAATTTTATTGATAAATTTGATTTAAAATACCGGAGTTTTAAAGGATCATTTGGGTGTTTTCTAAGGAATATTTTTCTTTTTTTTATGGGTCGTTTCATCAATTCTAAAGGTTCATACTTAAGACTGCCATCTTTTTGATAAGTAGGTATGTGTTTAACCTTACGAATACTGATATTACAAGCAAAATGCTGCATTTATTGACGATAAAACAACAATCCTTAGGATGTCCGTCTTACTCCCACTTTCCCTACTTTCTCAACTAGATTTTCCACCAGCGCAGAAGTCATTGGGAAGTATCCAAATAGAAATAGTTTGAATTTCAGTGATAAATTTGATGCGAATACAACATAATCACAGCCACCTCATCGCAGATCTTTTGTCAAATAGGCAAAATACGCGATAAAGTTAGATGTCTTAAGTTTGATCAATCTTCGTTTTGTTATATTCGGCATCAATGCACTAACGGACCGCTATAGATATAGATAAGGATGCCGCTATTCGATAAGCATACGTAAAAGAGACAAACCAGCAAAGGGTCGAAAGTATCTATTGGCAAAAAAAAAAGATAATCATACGCGCGCAGACTGTACACACGATACACGCCCAACCCTCTCGCTTTGATAACGGTAATCCACCAAGCATGTCGTAACACCCAGATTAGTTAACCAAATTCGAATTTATTTTATACTACCTGAGTGTACCCGGCTTTGCTCGGGATTCAATATTAGCTTAAGTTTATGCGCCAATTAAAAAAAAAACATGCTATATTGTACGTCGCCCGCACGTATTTTTTTCAAACCTGCCATGTATTTAGTTTAATTTTGATATTTAATTTGTAAAAAAAATATTGGACAGCTCTCACCATATTCTGCTCTTCCGCCGCCGTTAATTGCGTCTTTTGGAATCCCTTGGACTTTTTCTCTAACGCTTCGTATTTCATTCCGTGCTTGATCCGCCATTTCCTTCCGTAGATCGTTTTTGGTTCTAACATGATTCCGCCTTTTCCGGGCTTTTCTTGTTTTCCTAGGGAGATAAATCTGCACTAATTTCCGTTCCTCGCTGAATGGTGTGGTCGGTTTCATGTCTACCATCTGTCACTGAATTGTCATGGTGATCTGGGACGAGGCTCACGTCCAAAATCGCTGGTGCACCGGATCAGTTTCAAGAAGTGGCAGTTTCATCAGATTCCCCAACTAACCATACTCAAGCAAAGTAAGAATATACAAGCTATATTGCGACTATATGGTTACTTGGGTACTCATATGGCCGTTAGAATGGTTCATCGATTGCGACGTGTAGTATTTCTGAAAGTGATGCCTTATATTTCTCAATGTTTTGATTTTATCCTAACGTTACCTCAATGTTATATCACAGATAAACAGACACAACACATTGAATATTATCATTGTAAACTCTACCGCCATCTGTCGTATGTACTATGATGGACAATATACTCAACAGATGTAGTGTGTAAACGTCAAACGCTATGGAATTGATTATGTGCACCACAAGTGGCAACACTATCAACTTAAAAAACATTTAAATTGGCCGTTAAAAGCGATTTCGATGAACCTTTTAAGAGTATTACGTCTGCTTGTCTGTGATCATATCTTCACTATCGCAACTTCGGGTAATCTGCGAAAGTACTAGCATTTTGCTCAGGCTCTCTCATACTCGAAATGTGCCACGACCAAATTGGTACAACGACCGAAGCGCAGGGCGAATTTTCGAATTGATTTTGTTTCAAAATTCCTGAAATTTACCCCAAACGGTTTCCAATTTAAGAATTTCAAGGTCTTATGATTAAAATATTTGCTGATATACTAAACATGTTAACATCTATACTCTATTCTGATTCTTTTCCAAAACACCTAGACCTAGATGTGAGAAACTGGGGAAGCACTGCAAAAAAAAAAAAACATGGCTCTCACGGTTGATCCTCAACAATAAACGAATTTTAATATAAGTGTGTGCGCTATTCAGTATTCACTTTCCTAAATTCATTGTCAATTAATTCGGCTTGTTCAAACAAATCGCTACAAAAATCATAGTAGTAGGTATTGAAATTTCTGTACTAATCCTAAATAAGGACAACATTCGAAAAAAAAAAATTGAGTGTATTGGACAATCCTGTTATCTTAAATTCCAAAGTGAGCTCCACCATAACGCCATTTTTGTGCACATTCGCCAAAAAAAAAACAAACGAAATCGAAAGTGTGTCCTCCATTTTCCATCTGCCATACTCCAGAAGTTTCTAGCGTAATCAATGTCAAATAACTGAAAATAACGTTTATTATTTGAAATTAAACCTTCACAGATTGGCAAACTGAAGGGCAAAAACTCAAACCTGGAGCAGAGCCTGTTTCACAAGGAAGAGCTGATCGACCGTTTGAGGCAAAATTTGCAGGACGTAAGTGAGCGACTAGTGGCCAAATCTGAAATTGCACAAACGACGGAAGCCAAAAATGCAAGGTTTGCTACTTTTCCGATCACCGTTTTGCATGAACGAGAATCATTTTGATTGTGTCCATTGTATATCTAGTTTGTCACAAGCTTGGGAAAAGTTCCGAGAAGACTCCACTGCCCGGGAGAAGAAACTTTCCGAGGAACTGAGCAGCATCAAACGGAACTCGCAGAACCAGAGAAACCAACTGCAACAGTGCGAAAATCAGCTGTCGTGGCATCGGGAAGAGTTGGACAAACTTCGAGGGAAGGCGGAAACTTTACTCAAAGAGGTACGTTCGGAATATCCAATGAGAGTGAAATAATTAATTGTGTTTTTTTTTTTTGCAGAGAGACTCCTTGAGGCAAGACGCAGAAGATCTCGGTAGTAAGCTTTCGTGTTTTGCCGGAAAGGAAAGTGCGCTGTGTGAGGTTTTGAAGCAACTTCAGGGTGACTTATCACTTAAAACGGGACGATTGGCGGTATAATCAAAACGATTCTTAACGTTTCAAATACATAAATTGACCCCTCTTCCAGGAAGTGGAAGACAACTATCGCAAACTCAGTCAGGCGTATCAAAATCTTAAAGGTTTCAACGAAGATCTTACCAAGCAGTACCAGGCGGCGCGGAATCATTTAGAAAACTACAAACAGTTGGTAGAATTCAAACGTCAAACCATCCACACGGTAGAGCTGGCCCGTAAATGTGCCGAAGAATCGCGTCAACGGGAACGGGTCTACGAGCAAAAGGTGACAGATCAGAAGCGAATCATCACCCACCTGCAGGAGGATCGGGTAAAGCTGATGGAAAAGATGCAAGACTACCATCGGGATTCGTTGATTCTGAACCGGAGATTGGAAGACTACCAACAGGCGTACGACGACGGTCGGAGGTGATTATTGTGGGAATTGTTCCGGTTTTGACTGAAGCCAATCGCAACAATAAAGACGATAGCTAATATTGATTTCGTTTTTCATTTGCATTCGGTATTCTGTCTTGTAGACATTTGAGCACTTCTCTGCATCGGACGTTCTATCCGTCGGAGGCGAACAAATTGGTTCGGTCGAGCAGTGATCCAAATTGTAAGGAGGTGTGTATTGGCTTGATTGTGGGTGTGGTTTCGGAGTAGCACACAAGTTACGAGGGATGTACTTTTGGTTTTCTAGAGTGATGAGCTGCTGCGAAGGCTGCAGTACACCAAGGATCGGATACACCGGACGAGGGAGTTCTGGTACCGAGGGATCAAAGAGATCTTGCCACCAGGAGAACGGCCGCAAATGTAGATTAGGGTTTTTCGATAAGTACTACATAGGGACCGAACATACGCGCATTTGCATAGGCTAGTTGAGATCGATTTTTCGATAAATTTCCGTACAATTTGTATTATATTTTGATATGTTAGTTATTCCGTATTTTATACTGCAACAAAACTGTTTTTATAGATTCATGGTCGTTTTATTTAAATCCGAAAAAAAACTATTTTTTTCCTTCATTTAACGTTGGTCATTGTTCTGCAATCGACTGCCAATACTGACGAACTTCGATTTCCAATTAAACACTTCATTCGAGCAGTTAAAATGACGTTTACTACCACTCAAACTTTGAAATAAAACATTATTTTAAGATTTTTTCTTCTAGAGCCACGAGAAAAGTAGTGTGCGTTTCATAAAAAATAGAAATTTGTTGGTCCAGTTTTGTGAAATCGCTGGTAGAAAGTCACGCCAAAACTGCTTGACAAAGTGGTCGATTTCGGAGCAACCTGGTAGCATGGGTAAATATCTGAGAGACGTAATGTAAATTGTTGGGTAGTTGAAGATCTTCAGAACTATACTAAATCAACCTGAAGACATGAGAACATCCTGAGAAGTTTTTGGAGATCTCTGATCACCTGAAGGCCTTTGGAATATTTTCTGAGTCACCTGGTATCATGAGAGAATATCTGGGAGATGTGATTTGAATTGATGGATAGTTTGAGATCATCAGAATAGTACCTGATCAACCTGAAGTCTTGAAAAAGTATCCAGAGGACTTTATAGACATCTTAAAACGCATGGAATAATTTATTAGCTGCTTGGTAGCATATGAGAGGAAACCTGAGATATGTGATCTAGATTGTTGGATAGTTGGATATTTTCAGAATGATACCTGATCAACCCGAAGTCTTGAAAACATATCTAAAGGACTTCATGGAGATCTTAGAACACCTGCATATAATTGGAATAATCTCTGAGCAGCCTGGTATCATATGAGAGATTACATGGATTGCCATGAAGTTCTATAATATACTAGAACTACTTTGATGTTCCCCGATCTTTTATGAAATACCTCTGAGTTTTTTTGAAATTACCTAAACTTTAATCATACTCACTGAAACTTTTTTAAAGTACAATTTTCATACAGTTTACTGTCCTCTAAGAAGTTCTCCGATTTTTTGTGAAGCTCTTCGTTATTTATATTAAGTTCTCCGAGCTTCTATAAAATATCCTCATACTTGTCAGAAGTTCCCAAATTTTCTGTAAAATTCCCAAATTTCTATTGAATGTTCTCAACTTCTATGAAGTTCTCTGAACATTTACGATACACATCAATAAATACATGGAAAGAATTTTGAAACAGAGTTCCATTTGTGTTTCAAACCTGCTCAGAAATAAAACCGAATAGTCGAGCAGTGGTAAATCTGGTGCAAAATAGTGCTCGAATAATGAAACTGCAACTCAGTATTGCAAGGGGTACGTTTCTGTTCTAGTTTCAAATTGACCACTTTGTCAAGCAGTTTTGGCGTGACTTTCTATCAGCGATTTGACAAAACTGGACCAACTAATTTCTATTTTTTTATGAAACGCACAAATTTTGGCTACTTTCCTCGTGGTTCTAGAAGAAAAAATCTTAAAATAATGTTTTATTTCAAAGTTCAAGTGGTAGTAAACGTCATTTTAACTGCTCGAATGTAGTGGTTAATTGAAGCAGTCCATATAAAATACAACAGCATTGCGAACGACCTAATGTTTTAAATGTGGCTTGTGAAATTGAGTAGTAGTTAGACCAGTTTGGCTCGTTTTGTATAGAAAATGGTAAAAACGCGAACATTCAACGTGACCCCATTCACTAATTTATGAATTGGCGCTAACCAAACTTCAGTACTTTGTAATTCAAATTTAAGCTTTAAAATAGTAGTTGACATTGTGTCCCGGTCTGTCACCTTCTCCCCTTTATGGAGTCAAACATTCAGTAAAACAAAAATAAAAAGTGCTATAACTCTACAAGAAATGCACATAACCACATACTGTTTTCAGCAAAAACATGTAGTCTTACTTGTTTACATTTGTGCAGAACATTATTTGCTTGAAACAATATTATATAATAAGTTAATAATTAAAAACAAAATTTACATGGGTATCGATAGAAAACGGTTCATATATCCAACGTTATTAGACATAAAAATTTTTCATCTTCAATAACGTTTCATATTTTGAGTAGTTCTACAAATTTGCCGAAGAAAGTATCCTTCTATCTCTTTAGAGGAAAAAGTATGGTTTTTCATTTTTTTTTCATGGTAGGCCATGATAATCTTTTAGACACTATATAATTGTGGACAATTTCTCTGAAGACACTTTTTAGATTAAGTAAATAGTTTAAACACAATTCAATTAAGTTCGTGATTTTGCCATCTCCGACCACTGTGAACCGGTGCCGTCTCCGAAAAAGCAGAGAGAAAAGCTATGATTTTGCTAATTCAACTCTCTACTGCCAAAGCCCGCCTTTTGGCGGGGTAAGTTTAGAGGGCTGCGACAAAAATAATTGAATTTTGCTACAAATGCTGTGCGGGTCCGATCATATCTCTTGAAACTAGTTGACCGATTTCAAACATATTAAATAGCGTTCGATGAGACCATGGTACCTTTTGAGACTAGAAACAGTGCACCGGGTGCAGAGTGTCACCGACTTCTGGATGTCCGGCGATTTCGTTTCCGTCATCAGAGCTTTCAGGGTAAATCTATACAGCGCCAAGTGAAAATAGTGTATGTCGACTTCTCGGAACGCGCTGCATATCCATCTCTCAAGGTCCTCTAGATCTTTTCTGGAATAATGCATTACACCAAAACTTAAAATCAATAAGCGAATGACAAACATATTCACTTTCAGGAACATGTTTCCCGTTGTTTTGAAAGATTTCAGGACACAGTTCACCAGACGCAAGAATCCCAAACGGTTCGGGAACTTAATAATAAGGATTGCCTAGCAACTTTCCGTTCTAATTCTGAGTTGTGGGGAAAGTTCCAAGGGCATTTTGAAAAAAAAAATCGCATAATTCTAAAAACATCTCATTTGTGGTTGCTATAGTAAATCATTTGATATGAGCTCCAGGATTATCTGGAGAACGTACAAGATCTTATATGCAAAGGAATTAATTCGTAATTGATGCGCATAGTTATAGGTCTCATGATTTTTTTTAGGTTTTGTGTTGTTGTTAAGGGTAAAGGGTGATACGGTCAAAATTTGGTCAAGGGAAAACGCGTGTAAATCGGTGAAATCGTTTATTTAAAAAATCAAATTAAATTTCTTTTTCAAGTTCAATTAGTATAAAATTCAGGAAAAATATTCAGTTAGGCTTCCGCTTTTCCAAATCCGAATTGCCGGGCCTTACGCTTGACCCCTGCCATCAGATTTTGTACAGCCACCGTGTCCACCTTCTTCGCCGCAGAAAGCCAGTTTGCCTTGAACTGCTGCTCGCCCTTAGCAGTTTTTTTGGTCTTCTTTAGGTTCCGCTTGACAATAGCCCAGTATTTCTCAATTGGGCGGAGCTCTGGCGTGTTGGGAGGGTTCTTGTCCTTGGGAACCACCTGCACGTTGTTGGCGGCGTACCACTCCATGGCCTTTTTACCGTAATGGCAAGATGCCAAATCCGGCCAAAACAGTACGGAACAACCGTGTTTCTTCAGGAAAGGCAGCAGACGTTTATTCAAACACTCTTTCACGTAAATTTCTTGGTTGACAGTCCCGGAAGCTATGAAAATGCTGCTTTTCAAGCCACAGGTACAGATGGCTTGCCAAACCAGATATTTCTTTGCGAACTTTGACAGTTTCATGTGCTTGAAAACATCTGCTACCTTTCCCCTTCCTTTTGCCGTATAAAACTCCTGTCCCGGAAGCTGCTTGTAGTCGGCTTTGACGTAGGTTTCGTCGTCCATTACCACGCAGTCAAACTTCGTCAGCATCGTTGTGTACAGCCTCCGGGATCGCGCTTTGGCCGTCGTATTTTGTTTATCATCGCGATTTGGAGTCACTACCTTCTTGTAAGTCGATAGTCCGGCTCGTTTTTTGGCTCGATGCACGGTTGTAGACGATACACCCAGCTTATTTGCGGCATCTCGGAGAGAGAGGTTAGGGTTTCGCTTGAAACTACCGGCAACTCTCTTTGTCGTCTCAGCGGCTTCCGGTTTTCGATTTCCCCCCGATCCAGACTTCCTGGCTGTCGACAAACGTTCCCCAAACACTTTAATTACATTTGTAACGGTTGATTTGGCAACTTTTAGCAATTTTGCCAACTTTGCGTGCGAGTAGCTCGGATTTTCGCGATGCGCGAGCAAAATTTTGATACGCTGCTCTTCTTGCTTGGACGGCATTTTGACAACTGAAGAGTGAATTCCAAAATCAAAATAGGAGCAACATTCTACACACACACACCTTCAAAATGAGGGGTGTTCAGGTTTTTTAAATGCAAAATTGAAAGAAATACGTCAAGTTGATATTGACCAAATTTTGACCGTATCACCCTTTATAGTGATGACCAAGGATGATCTATAAGTTCTGTGGTATCATAACATGAAACGATTTTCGATATTACCGGTCGGTCTTGCCCAGTCGAACAAGTTTAATTAAGATAGAAACAATATAAGTGGTCACGGTCTTGAGTTATCATTAGAACATCATTATGTGTACTCTGGGTTACCCAATAAGTCAATGTAGAACTTAATTGTTCCCCGAAATAGATCACCTTTTCGTAATACCTGGCCCTGTGAGCTCTTCTTGTTGTCGGTTATAACCCCTTATTTTGAGAGCCTCCGAGGAACTGAGATTGGAATCAAGAAAAGGTTCGGAGCAGGGTTCAAATAATAGTATCATCAATTTTTTTTGTCACTGAGGCCACCTATTTTGATTGATAAGAAGGGCAGCCCTACTTTTTCTCAATAAAACAGATGAAATTATCCTTAATAAGTAAAAAAAATCTCCTTAAAATAGATCGGGTTGCTCCTTAAATGATTGATCAAAATACGTTAAAAATTTTAAAATGCTCAGTAAATATTTAAAGTACGCTCCCTAAAATAGGGAAAACTGTACATTAAGCATTTGAAAATGCTCCTTATTATGCACCGCTTTGCATCATTTTGAAGTGTAATTGTACCATATATCATCGGAAAAGCTGCTGTAGAAAGGTTAATAAGTACCATGAAATCAGCTGAAATGTTCAGTAAAAATGCACAAATGCACACAATGATTTACTGAACATTTCAGCTGATTTCATGGTACTTATTAACCTTTCTACAGCAGCTTTTCCGATGATATATGGTACAATTACACTTCAAAATGGTGCAAAGCGGTGCATACTAAGGAGCATTTTCAAATGCTTAATTTACAGTTTTCTCTATTTTAGGGAGCGTACTTAAAATATTTACTGAACATATTAAGATTTTTAACGTATTTTGATCAATCATTTAAGGTGCAACCCGATCTATTTTAAGGAGATTTAAGGACATCGTCATTGTTTAATGATTCATTTTCCTTTTTACCGATAAGAAGGCTCGTATTTGGATAGGCCCAGAACTTTTAGAATGGTACGGAACATAATAATTGAATTGGGCTTCTTACGAGACCTCTTTTGATTGATGAGAGGGCGCGTTTTTGGAGATACTTTGGTGCAATAAAATCACTGAAAAGGAGCGTGGGTTCTGTAAAAGATCAGAAAAGGTTTAAAAAAAACAGAGGACTAACTAAATCGGGAAGCCACCGACCACAATTACCCCGAAATAAAATCCATCAGGCACATGCACTTTGAGCATTGTACATAAATTACCTCCGACCTTCCGTCTCCATATGGGGTGGTCCCTTTCTAGTCCTTCCCATAGCAAGTCGATTGAAGCTTAAAACCCCAATCGAAACGATTGAAATGTAGGCAACTGTGCAGCACTGTCACCGACTGCTCGAGTCAATACAGAAATAATGTAATTTGTAAGGTTCCTTTCGGTACGGGAGCTTTGAGCCGCGGCTCGACAACCCACATGCTCCACTCACGTTTTCGGTCGATCGGCGATCAGCAGAGCGAACGGGACCGTGCGAAACCACCCGGTCAGTGGGTGGAAGTGAGATCGCACCAAAACAAAACTGCTCGAATTCTCACGGTTTGCTCTCACGAATTTTCTCGCATCAAAAGTTTAGTCTCTTTCTCTCGCATCGATCGACTCTGTTGTTGGTGTGTTGATGTTGATGGGGGGCTCCGAAAAGCTTACCCGCAGCCTTGGCCATTCAGTGTTCGGTTAGCGTTCGTGTGGTGCGCTCATAGTCGAGTTTGTATTTTTTTTGCGAGAAGAACGTCGTTTCGTTCGTTCGATTTTGGAGATGATTTTGATGCGTGTCGCGCGAATGTTTTTGTGAAAATCTGCAAGTGTTTTTCCGCGTTCCGGTTTTTGTGGGTGCGCGCGGGGGAAGTGTAAATGGATAACTCATGTCTGGGAAATCTTTGATGGTGTTTTCTTTCTTGACAAATTTCCGATCAGTGTTGCAAATCGAAATGTGAGGAAAATAAACAAAATTTTCGCATCAATCCGTGAAAGAAAGGCCCATATAGCAGTAAGTGGCGGATAGAAGAAACCGGGCCAGGCACACACGTTGTTTTCGAAGTTTTGGGATGTTGCGTTATCATTGCTGCTTTCTGAAGCTGATGGGTCAAACGAAGAAGTATTTGAAAGCAGTGATTCACGAATTGCAGCTGTTCAAGAGTTGTACGAGTTGTTTGGAAAATTATTTCTCGATATGAGAGTGCAGATTTCGGTATGACAAGACGCCGCCGCCGCCGTGAGACACGACGACGACGAGAGAAAAGTGTGTTACAATTTTAATGGTATTGAATTCTTTTTTTTTTTATCTCGGATATCATTGTTTGTTCCCAACAATTTATTTGTTTATATCGCCGACCGGAACAGGTCGAAAGTGTGCGTGAGAGTTATTCCGAAGCGAAATTTTTTGGCAGCAATGTGAATATTGTTACGCTGACCTTCTAAATAATATTGTGCAAATTTGACAGGTGCTATCCTCGAAGGGTGCGTGTTGGTTGGTGGATAAGGAAGCAATATAACGGAGGAATGTTCGGTTGTATTGGCTCGGAGAATCGATTTTCTTGGAAGCTAGAGCGAAAGGGAATGAAAGCTTCTACAGAGTGCACCACGTGAATGAGAGATGTTGAGAGTGATTTCGGGAGCATAGTAGCCATAGGCTTAGTAGATAGCGGGCCAAGTGTCAAACGGTGATGGAAACTGGATTGCTTGGTTGAAAACAATGTGACAAATCAGTGTCAGTACCTGATCTTGGAATCGTCATCGTATCAACGCATCGTGTATAATAATAATATAGCTGAGCTGTGAAACTTGCTTTCGTCGTGTGATAAGGAAGATTGTGTAGTGTTTATTTTTGATACGGAGCTGGCGATTTAATGCTGTGTGTAGCAGAGAAGAGATTATTTATCTGTAGTGCTGTGTGATTCATAGTGTGTCGTTAAGGAATCTTTGCGCAATACATACATGTGGTGTTGCTGTTGAGATACATCATGAGTGGCATATCACCCAACAAAGTGCATATTTTTGTGTACAGCTTAATCCGAAGAGAAGAGCTTTAGCAATAACGCTTTTACGGTTGGCCCAAAATCCTTCCTGGGAAGCTCGAGATTACTAACCGATCCCCGCATAGTCATGGCCGAAGAATCATCGAAACGCCATATTCCGGTGTGTCCTCCTCTGCCGAAGGATCTGGTTATGGCAAGCAGCAAACTACGACCGCCACCGCCCACCATCAAAGCGGTGGATCAGAATCCGCTGAGCAAAAGCGGCGGTAACCTGCTTGTAGTTCGGTATGAAGATACCGGTCCACTGGCAAATTGCCGTGACCAAAATACGGTTTCCGTCTCGTTGGAGGATATACTGAAAACGTTCAACGCACCGATATCCGAGGATCAGGCGTGGGCCCTCATCTATCAGAGTACACGCATGTTCAAAGCTTGGCTACAGGAGACTGGCTGCCGGTTGCGGGATTTGCGGCTGCCGGCCAAAACGAGACATCTGAACGTGCACAAGGATGGAAGTTGCTTCGTTACGGTTAGCGATCAAGGTTAGTAGGGGTTTTTTGGATGTATTTTTTTTTTGTTAGGTTTAGGTAAAGGTTTAAAACAGAGAATGTTAAGCTTGTTTCGGATGAATAACCTCTGATACTCAGATATGGATCAATTAATTTTACAACAGCTGTACATAGCGATTTGAATCGATTCTACAAATTGGAGGAGTGAACGGTTTTATTACTACCGATAAACATATTACAGCCGTGATTGCATGGTTAAGACAATGGGTACGTCATACGGCAGTGATTGAAATTATTTCCATTGACTAAGTAAGGGTTTTGAGGCTTATCTTAACAATTAGTGGGAGTATTTTCCAGACAGGAATGTTAATATTTACGTAGGATTGTTGGAGGACGTTTTTGTTGCATCGTGATTTTTTTTTCAGCTCTTTGCTAATTACAAATTCAAAACAATTATTAATCTAGGTGCTGCTACTACTTTCACAATAGTTTACCAACTTTATTGGGTATAATATAACTAAGTGTGTTTACCCTTCTTTTGCCTGCTGCATACAGTACTTCAAACAGTTTTTTTTATTCTTGTGTGTCAGTATAACACTTCATATTAACTTAAAACTAAAAACTTAAACTATCGTATTCAATATTGACTTAACGTTCATAGTGACTATATGAATAAAGGATGAACATTAAATTAATGCCACATACATAAACAGCTGCAACTTAAAAACCACGATACCAAATTACTTGAAATTCTCAGAGAAGATTCTTAAGCGAGTTCTGAACAAGAATAAAAAATAAACGTTAATACTCGAAAAAAGTGAGAGACATTGATTAGTTTCTAATTTTTTTAACGTGTGGGTGAAAATTGATGAAATTTTTACTGAAACTAGCTAAGAGTGTTTACGCTGGCAAAATAAATACCCGTTGTCCAATCAGAAAAAAAAAATAAAGGAGACTTTATAATTTTGTCCAGCTACGAAAAAGTACATTTAGCTAATTTGTACTTATTTGATCTATTCTTTGTTCAACTTGATTACAGATTACAAAACTTTAAAATGTGAGAGAATTTACTGGTTTTGTTTGGATTGAAAGTGTTGAGTTGTCATGTGCTTAGAGGGGTTTAGATTTGTTGCGTCAAAATGAGCCGAATTTTGGAAGTGTTATATCTGACCAACTGAATAATATTTTGAGATTTAATATTTGCTTAAAAAGTGGGTAGGCCCATTCCACGTGACTATGGTGTATCCAGGTGGATAAGTGACGCTAGAGTACAAATGCAATTCTTCTAGTTATAGCTCAGGATCGAGACCTAATAGAAGTTTCATGTCTTCAGCAAAGTTGTTCAAATGGATGGGATCCGCTCAGTAGTGAACAGTTTAGCTGGAAATTTTCTCTCTAGGTGGTGCCAAAGTTCAAATATAGTGCTTCTAGTGAGGACTGTGGGTCAAGACTAGGTAAAAGATTTCTGTCTTCATCAAAGTTGTTCAAATGGACGTGACCCGTTCAGTAGGGAATATTTCTGTTGAGAATTGCATCACTAGGAGTTCTTCTAGTGATAAGCCAGGATCGCGACCAGATAGAGGTTTCTTGTCTTTTGCAAATGGTTGAGATCTGTTCAGTAAACAGTTTAGTTGGCAATCGAATCAGGTTGCATCAGAGTAAAAATAAATCTCTTCTAGTAGTAACTCAGGATCGAGAAAAGATAGAAGTCTTATGCAAAGTGGCTCAACAAGTTGTTCGAAATTCACTGAAATCATTTTGGGGATTCCTGTTCTTGGGATTCTTCTGAACCACTCCCTCCCTCCCTCTGCGTAGAAAATAATTCATATAAAATTTTGGAATTAGTATGGACCGTAGACACTCGCCAACCCCTAAAGTGGCTGCGTGGTTTATAAACAGCTCCATAGGTCATATGGATATGTATTACATAAATTTTCCCCTTTTATTTTAATGTTTTGATTTATCCCAGAAGATGATTTTTAATTCCCCCAGAGGTTTCTTCCGACTTCTATGGAAGTTTTCTTTTTTTAATTCGTTCAACAAGATTTATCCAGCTATTCAGGAGTTTTTTTAACTACCTCTAGAAGTATTTTTTTCTGATTTTCTTTGAAAGATTATTTAGACATCCCCGGGAAGTTTTTTTTAAGTTCAAGAATTTTTTGGAATTTTCCCAGCATCAGCTTTTTACGGAGGCTTGGTCCAGTTTTATTAGGATGCTTTTTACGGCTTCTTCTGGAGGCTTCCGATTTACATCGGAAGATTCCTGCAACTTTTCTTTGAAGTTTATTCCGGATTTTCCTAGAACCAGACTTGCTCTGAAAGTTTCTTCTGACTGACGATTTTTGCAGGAAGCTTCTTCTGAGGTTTCAAGACGTTCTGCTGACTTGCCATGAATGTGTCTTCCTCTGCAAGCTTCTATAAACTTTCTCTGAAAGTTTCTTTCGACTTTCCATGTACATTTATCCTGGCTTTTCATGAATTTTTATCTCCCTCCTTATCTATCAGCTTCCTCTGGAAGTTTCCTACAACTATCTTCGGAATTTTAATTTTTTGCTATTCTTTTGAAGTTTTTCCAATCTCTCCAAAAAGTTTTCAACAGTTTTCGCTGGAAAATGTCCCTTAACTTATTGATAAGTCTATACAGTGTAATTTTTCCAGGAATTATTTCTTGGTTGGGGTGGGCTACGAATTCAAACAAGCTTTTCTTGAATTAGGAAACGTAATTTTTGGTGAAATTATCGAGAACGATTTGCTTTATTTGCTGCATAATTTCCATCCGTTTCTCGTCTTATTTTTTGTATGATTCAATCAATCAACAATATTAACAATTAATTTTTCGACCTATTACAATTTCAGAAGTAAAGTGGATGGGCATTAAAAGAAAATATTGAGGATGGTGGGCTTTGGAAAACATGTTTGTAAAAACCAAAACAGAACTTATCATTTTCGGGGTTTTAATTTTTTGTTTTCAATTCAAAATTAAAAAAAAACTTGCAATTTTATTCACAATTTCCGTTACATGAATTTCAGAATAAACTTGAAATTCTGTTGTGAACTATCATAGAATTCTTCATATACTATCCAGAAAATTTTCTTCGTAAATACCTTTGAATTATCTTTGTTATTTCTGTGAAATCCCTTCCTCTTAGAATTGCTTTGAACCTATTCTGAGAATTATATTCATTTGAAATTCTTCTCCAAATTTACTTTTAACTCTAGTTAAGACTCTTAGCGCAAATCATTTTAAATTTTCTTCAGAAAGCCCTTTTAGCATTTTAAAGAATTTCTTTCGAATTCACAGCCCTTTTTTGGAATCAACTCTATTGAACTTCGCTTATGAATCATCGGCACTGTTCATTTGAAATTATCCCCAGAACACTCTTAAAATTATGTTTCTTGTTGAATGGTCATCACAATTTTCTTTTAATTCTCCTTAAAATTCATCTGTAATTTTACTCACGATCTCCAAACATTTCTTCGCATAATCACTTTGGATTATTTTTTGAAATTTTCTAAAATGTCATAAGTATTTAATTTATAACTTCCTTTCTGCTCCCTAAAGGGAATACTGTGGAGCAGAAAGGAAGTTATAAATTAAATAATGTATATAATTTTGGAATGAAAAGTCCTGACCGGAATTCCAACATCATTCTAAATTGTAGGCATAATAAATTGTTAGATTAATTTAAAAATTAATCTAACATTTTATTATGCCTACAATTTAGAATGATGTTGGAATTCCGGTCAGGACTTTTCATTTCAAAATTATATAGGAATTCTCGTCAATATTTCTTAAAAGTCAACACTTCAATTCCCTTTAAATTCTACTTTTAATTCGAGGGTTCGTCTTCCGGATTGTATAGAATGTTCTGTAAATTGTTATAGCTCTTAAAATTCTTCCAAGTCTCAGAGCCATGACAATTATTTTTCTAGAGCCCATGATAAGGATTTTTTTTTTCAAATCTGTGAAATCTGTTTTTTTTTCTTCAAAATCTCACATTTTAATTGTTTGTCTAATCATCACGATCACGAAGATTGTTATTAGTTGCAAATTTTGAAAAAAAAAGTTCTAGCCTAAGACTCTACACATATGTCAAGGTTCCCGAATCTTGTGAATTTCCTTAAATCGCTATTTTTTAAAAGATTAATATTAACACGGAGTGAAGACACATTTTCAATGTCCGAGATGTTCAACAATTTTTACCTAAATCTCATTTGTATCAAATTATTTTTTTCTAAAATATTTTTTAATTCAATCTCTCATTCTTTACAACTTTGTCTTGTGGGTCACAACTCTGGTACTCAGTAAATTATGGGGCTTTGAAAACATGAGATCGAGCTTAAACAGCATCGAGCTTAAAAAAGTTATACAAATCGATTTGACAACGTATCTCAAAAGAATAATAATTTGTTTTGAATAAATAAGGTGACACTTAGAGTTGAATTATACTTTTAGCCTTAAAATACTTTCTGTGGTTCTGCTTCTGAAGATAATTTACCCACAAATAACTTCCGAATATTTCCAGTTGGTCACGTTTTTAAAAAAATTGTTCAATTTCGTTATTTGTTGAATATTAACAACCGGGAAAATTTTAAGATTTGAACCGGAAAAAACCGGGATTTCCGCAATGAAAATTCACTGGCAACCCTGCAATTTACCTGATACCCTGTATTCCCCCTTCCCCAAAATATTCAATTATAATGTCAATCGAAGGCTCTTTGAAAATGTAGCTAGTCCCGTAATCCATACACCTAGCGATTATTTTCGTTACCAAGTAATGACTAGCGAATGTACAACCGTTTTCTATAGAAGAAGTACTCAAGACGAATGTAGTCCAATCTTCGGCGTAGCCCTAAGCTATTCTGGACGGGTTGGGAAGACAAAAAGGAAAGAGGATGAGCTACCGGTTGAGATTCGTCTAAGCGATAAAAAAGCCAACACTTATTTAAAAAAATATCAGTGTTCACTCGGCTGTCGACAGAAGCAGGCCACGCATTCGTCTGTTTACTCGGCAGCAACCATTGTGTTGTGT